GAGGGGCAGGGGCCCTAGAAAAAAAAAAAAAAAAAAAAAAAAAACCTCACGTGACCCTTCCATGTGTAAAGATCAGGCAGTTATCCTAAGTATAAGTATATAAATGTGTGTAAGTATCTGAAATATACCTAAGCAGGCCTCTTATTGAGGCTCAGACTGAAACAGGTCTCCCATCTCCGCTGTGTAAGGGTGTCCTCTAATCCTGCATCTCCACCTCAGACTCTATGTTTGCCCGATTTAACTTTGAAACCAGTCTGGCTCAGGGTCAGCAGGTGGTGTGGTGGTTAAGGGCACTGAACTCCCACATGGCCAACTGCAGTTCGAGTCCCAGACTTGGCAGCTTGCTTTCTCACTTTCCCTCTTTCTCTCCCTCTCTGGTCAATTAAAATACATAAAGGAAGTTAAATAAAATAATTCTTGAAAGAAAAAGAAAGAAGAAAGAAAGAAAGAAAGAAAGAAAGAAAGAAAGAAAGAAAGAAAGAAAGAAAGAAAGAAAGAAAGAAAGAAAGAAAGGAAGGAAGGAAGGAAGGAAGAAAGAGAAAGAAAGAAAGAAAGAAAGAAAGAAAGAAAGAAAGAAAGAAAGAAAGAAAGAAAGAAAGAAAGAAAGAAAGAATCCAGTCTGGCTCTGAGCTTGGGTGCATTTCCACCATTAGTTCTATCCCTCCTTGTCTTTCGTGTCCAAGAACTCCCACCCAGCTTGTCTGCATTGCCTGCTAGGCCCCAAGGATGTGCGCAAAGGACCCTGAACAGTCATGACTTGTTATCAGCGATGACTTTGGCGCCAGGTGTCTGAGTTCCTGTTGCAGGGACAGGGCTGATTAGATGCAGGACTTCAAGCTGTAGGCCCTCCTGCTATAGGATCTGCTCTGCCATGCCTCTCCCCCCAATCCTGCTGCAGGTGACCTTCGAAGGGGAGGGGACGCCCTCTGGGGGGCAGCTGGAGCCAGCTTTGCAAGTGAAGGAAGGGAGAAACCAGAAGATGGAAAAGAGGGAAAACAGAAGATACTGGCAGGCCCCAGGGAAGTGGACTCCTGTTCTAGTCTCCACCTGAGAGCACGGCCATTGCTCTCCCCACCCACAGCTCTTTGTCCCTAGGTGGAGAAGGAAAGGAGAAAGACTTCCTAGAGAATGCAGTGTTTTAGTAACAGCTGGAATTTGCAAAGTGCATGCCCTGCACATAGACCCTTTCACTTAGGTCTCCCTGAAGCCAAACCCAAGGAAGGTGAGTTAAATAAAAGCAGGGAGACAGCATCTCCGACAGCAGCAGAAACCAAATAGGCAGAACATGAGGCAAACGCCACTTCCTAGCCCTGGGTTCTCGTCTGGGGAAAAGCATGCCCTTTCTTCCAGCGGCCAGTCCTGCCTTAGGAAGTATTCAGGTTTGGTCAGAGGTCTCCCATCAACAACTTGCTATAAAAGGCCTGGCAGGGTCTTCCCAAGTGCCCTCTCACTCACCTTTGGCATCCGGTAGCCCCTGCTGAGAATGAAATCCTTAAAAGCAGCTGTTCCATGAAGGTCTGCAAGTAACTCCTCCTAAAACAGGTCAGTGGTCAGAGGCTGGATTTCACACCTCTAATTAAACACATTCAGCTGCTATAAAGCACCTTTTAAAAACCACTTCCTTCCTTGAACATATGTGTAAAGGACGTGCATGAGTTGCTGAATATGAAGGCTCAGAAATGCCAACTTCCTCTCCTTCCCTGCCCTTTCACTTACCCTTGTGCTGAGTAAAAGCAACACTTTTTAGCAACTGGACAACTGATGACCTAGGATGTCTGGGACCTCCGATATATCCACGATGTATAGAACTTAACTCCGAAAGGAACGACAATCAAAACAGATTTGATCCAGCCCCTGCACCCCATCTTCTGAATATTCATGCATCCTTTCAGGGTTTTTGTTTTTTTTTTTACAGTCTTTTGACTTTATTTAAGATCAGATGTGTAAGCTTATATGACTGCAATTCAGCTCCTTAAGACCATTTCAACATTCTAAAATATGCTTTCCAAAATTCTGTAAGTCTTGGGAACCAGCAGTTAGCGTAATGGCTATGTCGCTGGACTCCCACGTAGTCGACCACGGTTCGCATCCCAGATCTGGTGGCTTAAAACTCACGCCAGGCGCGTGTGCGTGTGTGCCCAAGATCCCAAGAGGAGAATGGAGGAGAAGGGATTGCGGCGTGGCCGTCCCCTCTGGGGGGTGATTTCTCGCTTTCTGTCTCTATGTCTCTCTCTGTCTGTCTGGCGAGCGCACGCGCCCTATAGCAAAAATCTCTCCAAAAAAAAAAAAAATTTTTTAAGGTTTTAAAAAAATATTTAAAAAAAAAAAAAAAAAAAAACTTCAATAGCCTAGTGGTTAAACAAAATTTATCAAGTCAAAACGCTGAGTTCCCAGCAAGACAGGTGTCATTATGGTGACTGTCTCTTACCAGCACACCATGGGTTGCATCTTGCGAAGTGGGGTGCCCAGGTCTAATGGCAGTACCTAAAGAATGTAGGGTAAGTCACTTCTTGTTTTTTTCCAAAGTGTGAATTATAAGACTCACTGAGGAACATTTCCATGATCTTGAATCCTTCTATATCTAAACTGGCTGATGAAAAATTTTTACTGTTAGGATCAGGAGGTGGCATAATGGTTACATTGCTGGTCTCCCATGTAGTAGACCGCAGTTCGAGTCCCGGACCTGGTGGCTTAAAACTCACCCTAGGCACATGTGTGTGTATACCCAAAATCCCTAGAGGAGAATGGAGAAGGGACTGTGGCATGGTCATCCCCTCTGAGGGATCCCTAGAGATCTTGAGGAGATCCTTAGAGGAGAATGGAGGAAAAGGGATTACAACATGGCCAACCCATCAGGGGGTGATTTCTCACTTTCTATCTCTCTAGCGAGCGCACGTGCCCTATAGCAAAACTTGCTCTTAAAAAAAATTACTATAACTATTATGCCAACCATATTTTCAAAACTTTAAATGATACCACTTTTTCATTAGCTGATGGTAACCATTTTTGCAAACACTTTTATTAGCTTTGCCATTAAAATTAAATATGCTTTCAAAACATAGAAAAGATGTTGAATGTTGAAGTGGGGAGATTAATGTCTCTGTACTGACTGACATGCATGGCATTCCCTTTTGAAAAAGCAATGTAATACACTGTAAAGTTATATGTAGTCCAATGTAATATAAAGAAGATTATGATGATAATAAAAAAACCCTTAAAAAAATAAAAAAAAGAAAGTCATATTTTTCTATGGAAAAATGTGCCATGACTTTCCTGACACCCCAATAATAATGATAAATAAAATTAAATAAATAATTCATTAAAAAAATTAAATATGCTTTCCAAAATTCTTTACGTCTTTAAGAATATATATATATATATATTTTAAAAATACTTCAATAGCCTGGTGGTTAAGAAATTCAAATGACACTTGGCCAACCATGGTTCAAATCCTGGCATTGGTGGCTTGAAAAACATGCTCACTAAGTGTTTGTATATGCTCAAATTCCAACAGGATGAAGAAATAGAAGAGAAGGGATTGTGGTGTGAACACACCTCACTGGGACGTACTTTCTTTCTGTTAAATACATACATCCTCTGGCAGTTAAAAACAAAACAGAAAAACTTCCAGACATCTTAAATGTGTAACTATTTTCATTCTCAAATATTTAATTCATTGAGAAAGCTTTTTACTTCTCAAAAGGACAACTGGGATAGATTTTTAACAGATTAAATTCACATAAATTTAGGCTTCCACAAGCATACTATGTTCATAAATTTGTGCCATATCTCTGACCTGAAAATTAAAATTTATACCCAGTACTGGAAAAAATTAAAATAACTCTCCTTCCTGTTTTAGCTTTCCAACTTAAAGGAAGCAATTCATGAGTGATTACTGATGAATGATAAGCCAAAGTTATGTAGTATGTTTACTTTTTTTTTTTAAGAGTTTTTTTTTTGCTATAGGGCGCGTGCACTCGCCAGACAGACAGAGAGAGACATACAGACAAAAAGTGAGAAATCACCCCCCAGGGGGGATGGTCACGCCGCAATCCCTTCTCCTCCATTCTCCTCTCGGGATCCTGGGCACGCACGCACACGCGCCCAGCGTGAGTTTCAAGCCACCGGGTCCGGGACGCGAACCGCGGTCGACTATGTGGGAGTCCAGCGACATAGCCATTACGCTAACTGCTGGTTCCTATGTTTACTTTTTCAAAGTGTTCTCGCAATGTGGTAAATGTTCTGAGTCTGTCGAAAAAGAGTTCGCGGATATTCTCATTAGAATCCCGTGCCAGTGTAGTATCAATATTTCTCAGTTTTCAGGACTACAATGAGTTTCTTCTGTCCACGGGATGCTTGTACACACACACACACACACACACACACACACACACACACACGCTAAGCAGGCACAGAGACTAAGCAGGCACAGAGGTTTTTCCTACTCTGATTTGAGCCTATCCTTGCGGGGCATGTTTACTGCTTTGCAGTACCAAACAGTGCTTCAACCTTGTCCTTTCCTTTCAGATAGATCCTGCCACTCTGCTCAATGGCATGAAAGAAGTTTCTCAACTGCAACTTTGAATTCTTTGATAGTCATCCAGTGTTAATAGGACACACTTAGTTACCCAAAGAGAACCTCCATCAGATGAGCACTGAGGTGGTCCTTCCAGGTCACACCACCCTTTGAATGCTATCCATAGAATCGATTTTTCTAAGGAAGGAGGGAGAGCTGTGAGTGCTTGTCCCACCTTTAGAGACACTGCGTCTGCCATGAAGCCAGGAGGTTTCAAACCTTGCTTATTACACATTCCCTATAGCATGACGTGACTTTCTCATTGTTGAATCAATACGTAAATATAAGTCGTAAGACTTTCAGGAGTCTTGGAATCAGCAGATGGCGTAATGGTTACGTCTCTGGACTCCCATGTAGTTGACCGCTGTTGGAGTCTCAACAGGCATCTCAAATCTCACATCAGGCACATGTGCGTGCATGTCCAAGATCCCAGGAGAATGGAGAAGGGATTGCGGTGTGGCTATCCCCCAGGGGGGTGATTTCTTGCTTACCATCTCTCTGTCTCTTCCTGTCTTTCTGCCAAACACACATGCCCATAGCAAAAATCTCTCTTTAAAAAAAAGACTTTCAGGCATCTCTACGTGACTCCAGAGAGTCTGGCTTTCATATGAGGGCGGCAGGTGCATTGTGATCATTTTTAGCAGAGATGATCAAACCTCAGCATGTGTGTACTTACCTGTTTCTGCAGTTCCTTTTTAAAATCCTCATCTCGAGCATTATGAGAGACCTTGGGATCAACTAAAGGCTCGTCTGCTCTTTGCTTTTTCCACAACTTGGTGCTCAGATACCAAGCTCCATACCTCATCTTCACGTACTTTGGTTTATCAGGATTCTATAGAAAAGGACATAATTCAGTGTCATTAGTCTTTCGGTCTGTCCTTTTGATAAATCTAAGATTTAGCTTATGAAAGCAGTATTACTACTTTGGATTTACAATTGGCCTTTGCCAAAGTATGTTTTGAAGTTTCAGCATCCATTCATTTTACAAAGGAAATACGATGAATTCGTAATTGAGAAAATAATGTAGTGGTTAAAAGCACGGCCTTGTGGGGCCAGCAGGTGGCGTGGTGGTTAGGGGCACTGGATTCCCACATGGTCAACGGAGATTCGAGTCCCAGCAAACTGCCCCACCCCCCCCATTATGTCCCTCTTTGGTCAAATTTAAATAAATAAATAAATAAATAAATAAATAGTTAAATCATTCTTCAAAAAAAAAGAAAAAAGAAAGGAAGAAAAAGCAGGGCCTTTACACTTAGACAGACCTGGGTTCAACTCCAGCCTTCCCTCACTTAGTAGCTGTATGCCCATGAGCCAATCACTAACCTTCTTCACCTGTGAAAATGGACATAATGTAGTTTTCACCCCCTGCTATGGTTTGAATGATGGCTTTTCCTCCAAAGTTTCATGCTTTGGAATTTGTCTTAATGGTGATTGATTGGATGGCCTCTAGAAATTTGTGTGTTGGGACTTGATTGTATCTTGTTAAATAAAGTAAATGCGTAAAAGCGAAATGAATGTGAATGTGTAAAGTAAAAGTGTCCAAGAAAACCTTAATTCTTTAGGCAGCCACTGGAAGAGGAGAGAATATGTGCAAAATAGTTTGAAATCACTTAATAATCATGTATTTCACCCAAGGATAATGAATGAAACTTTGAACAATAATCAATCAGTCCAAACAGTAAGATGTTTAGACTTACTACAGGCCCAGAACCATTCTCAATCTCATAAATGATATCTTCAAACTGCTATCCAACAGTTCCTATTTATTTATTTATTTATAACTGTTTAAGGTTTTGTTATAGGGCACATGTGCTTACTGGAGAGAGACAGAGAAAAATGGAGAGAGAGAAAGTGAGAAATCACCTCCCAAGGGGGGTGGCTATACCACAGTCCCTTCTCCTCTATTCTCTTCTTGGGATCTTGGGCATGCACGCACACATGCCCAGTATGATTTTTACTTTTTATTTGTAGTTTTTTTTTTTGCCTTAGGGCATATGTGCTCACCAGAGAGAGAAAGAGACAGATACAGTGAGAGGGTAAGTGAGAAATCACCCCACAGATAGGATGGCCATGCTGCAATCCCTTCTCCTCCATTCTCCTCCCATGATCTTGGGCATGCACGTACACATGCCTGGTGTGATTTTGAAGCCATGGTCCAGGATTTGAACAGCAGTCAGTCATGTGGGAGTCCAGCGATGTGACCTCTATGCCATCTGCTGGTCCCCACCCAGTGTGATTTTTAAACCACTGGGTTTGGGGCTTGAACCATGGTCTGTCATGTAGGAGTCCAGTGCCATAACCACCATGCCACCTCCTGGACATATTCCAACTTCTTTACTTGAGGGGGAGAAAGAATAGGACCTGTCTTAGTCTGTAATCTCATTGCTAACAGATATACCTGAGACTCAGTGATTTATAAAGAAACAAAGGTCTATCTAACTCATAACACTGGTGGCTGGGAAGCCCAAAGGTCTAGGATGGGCATCAGGAAGACCTATGCAACCTGGGGCCACCCTCTTCCTTTTTTTAATTAAACTTGGTTTAATATATTATTACTGTGATTACTTTTTTTTTTTTTAATTTGCTATAGGGCATGTGCACTTACCAGAGAGGGAGAGAGAGGGAGAGGGAGAGGGAGAGGGAGAGAGACCAAGAAAGCAAGCCTCCAGGTCCAGACTGGAACCACAGCCAGCCATATGGGAGTCCAGCCCCTTAACCACCACACCACGGGCTGGCCCCTAATCGTCTTCCTTTAATAATAGCCTGATTTCACAAGAACTAACACCTTCTCATGAGAAGTAACTCACACAGTCTCTCACCAGACATTAATCCACCCGTGAAGCTGATGCCTCTGTGATCCAGTCACCACCCACTACGTCTGACCACCTCCCAACATTACTACAAATGCCAGAATATGAACCTTTCAGGGAAAAACCATTATCCAAACTAGAAGAGATCTCAGTCCTCTCCTTTTCCCGTTGCTCAGTAATGCATCAAGGATGTGAGAAGAACCTCTTGCTGGGTCATAGCTTGACATTAAGCTTCTCCAAGAAGTTGGACTGCATCCCAGAGCAAAGCTTATGAATCTTTACGGAAATACAAAAATACCCAGCACTCAGGAGTGAAAAATGTACAATATCTGGCATCTATTCAAAGGTCATCAGATTTATATGTATGGTCAGAATTTTCCCAAGAAATAATGGTCAACATTTGTCTAAATTGGGTAAAAACTAAGGCTACAGATCAACTTGGGGGTGGGGGGAAACGAACATACAGAAAAACAAGATAAGGATGACGTAAGATTTCTCATCAGAAACTATACAGCCAAGGAAGCAGAGGGGCCATATTTAGCATAATTGCTATGTCTCTGTACTCCCATGTAGTCGACTGCAGTTTGAGTCCGGGACCCGGTGGCTTAAACACATGCCAGGCACATGTGCGTGCGTGCCCAAGATCCTGAAAGGAGAATAGAGGAGAAGAGATGGCGGCATGGCCATGCCCAGGGCGGGGAAGGGGGTCGTTGATTTCTCGCTTTCTGTCTATCTCTTTGTCTTTCTGGCGAACGCGCATGACCTGTAGCAAAAACCTCTTCAAGAAAAAAAAAGGAAATCACTCCCTCAGGGGTGATGGCCAACCACAATTCCTTCTTCATTCTTCTCTCAGGATTTTAGGCATGCATGAACATGCACCCAGCATGATCTTCAAGCCTCTGGGTTCAGGACTCAAACTTTGGTCGGTCATGTGGGAGTCCAGTGCCTTAATCACCGTGCCACCTGCTTCACCCCCAAAATACCTCATTAAAATGAAAGAAGAGGAGTCAAAATACCTTTTTAAAATGAAGGAAGAGGCACAGTGGTTATATCACTGGATTCCCATGTGGCCGGCTGCGGTTTGAGTCCTGGACCTGGTGGCTTGAAAATTGGGTCAGGAGTATACATGTGCCCAAGATCCATAGAGGACAAGGGATCATGGCATGGCCCTCCCTCTTGGGAGAGATGATATCTCACTTTCCCTCTCACTATCTCTGCCTCTCTCCTGTAAGGCCACATGCCCTATGGCCAAAAACCTCTTAAAAATAAATAAATAAATGGAAGAAAGAATAAAATATTTTCAGATACACCAAAGCTGAAAGAACTCACCACTACAGATCCACAGTGGAAGAAATGTTCCTTCAGGGAGGAAAAACATATCAATGTGGAAATACAGTTTGAACTTTTGCATAGTGACTGTCTGTCTGCCTGTCAAAGGTTTCATTTTGGCAATAACCACCCTGTTTATGAAGTAGTGTGTGCACAATTATTTTTAAGTACAGGGAATTGAGCAATTTGATTCATCCCAGATCAGGACAAGCCGTGGGTTCAGGCCTCAGGTGTGATCAGCATAATCTGCCCGTCCAACATCATTTTGCATATTACCCCTTAGAAAGCTGGAAGGAGGCCCAGCTGTAGTGGCACAAGCAGTGGAGCATCACTGAGTGAGGCCGGGGCCACATGAGAGGCCTGGGTTCAGATCCTGGACCAATCTGAGTAGGCTGGACACAGTACCAGTAATCGTAGCTAATTGGACGGCTGGAGCAAAGGACTACAATGGGAAGTCCCTGTTAAAATACCTATTTTTCTTCTCTCTTTCTCATTAAAAACAGAGAGAGAGAGAAAAGAAAAGAAAGATGAGAGGAAGATGGAAACATTAAAGAGCTAAAATCAGGCCAGCTGGTGGCACAGTGATTAAGATGGCCGGATATCATATGAGTGGTTCAAGTCCTGGATCCAGTGGCTTGAGAAATGTGTCAGGCATGTGTGCATGCCCAAACTCCTGAGAGGAGGGAGAAATGGAAGAGAAGGGGTTAAGGCATGACCAGCCCCCCATGGGGAGGGGGGCTGTTTTCTCACGATCCCTCTCTCTCTCATTCTCCGTGTCTCCCTCCAGTGAGCACACATGCTGTCTGGCAAATTAAAAAAAAAAAAAAGTGCTGAAATCTGTGATGTGACATTTTTCATAAGCCTATGCGAAAGAGTCAAGAACAGAAAACTATGCTTTTTATTTCACATGTCACTGTGCTCAATTGTAAAGGAAAAAACAGTATGTACAAAAATATTGGAACTATACATTTTTTAAGAGGTTTTTGCTTAGGGCATGTGTGCATGCTGGAGACAGAGAGAGACAGAGACAGTGAGAGAGAAAGTGAGAAATCATTCCCCAGCAGGGGATGGCCACGTTGCAGTCCCATCTCCTCCATCCTCTCGGGATTTTGGGCACGCACGCACACACAACTGGCATGAGTTTCAAGCCACTGGGCCTGGGACTCGAACCTCAGTCAGCCATGTGGGAGTCCAGTACTTTAATTACTATGCCACCTGCTGGCCCCTCATTTACCAAATATTTATTAAACATGACAAACATTTAAGAATTCTACTTCAAACAGCCAGTGCTCCCTGCAGTATCAGAATTCAACACTAAAGGCTTTCATACAACTTAGTTTTCTTTGCTTTCAAGTCTGTTCTTCTGTAATTACCTGTGGTTTCTGGACTTTCCTCTCATGATCTAGTTTCTGGAAGAATGTCGGCCCTTGCAGGTCATTTAGCCCCACACTATGTCTCATCTCTGGAGGAACCTGGTTTAGCCTCGTCGCAGGGAGCACGTCACAGCTTGGCTTGCTGTGATAGTCAACGTCAAACTGTTGCAGGATGAAGTCCTCACCAATGTCCGCACTGCCCTGGAAGATGGTCACATTGCACAAGCTGAGGACAAATGGTGAAACACTTTCTGCTCTGTTCTTATCTGTTCTAACGTGTCCACCTCTACTCCTCCCAGCGATGGTGGTGAGAGTGAGGGGAGAGTGTTCTGTGAAAAAATATGGCTGACTAAAATGACCTCCAGCAGAGCAGGAAACAAGGCAGCTTCCCTTACAAGGGGCTGTGGGCAGAACAAATGCTGACCTGTCTAGGCATATCTGGAAAATCCACACGAGCTGGGACCATTCTTTGTATTTTATTTTATTTTGCTATAAGGCACGCGCGCTTGCCAGAAAGACAGAGAGAGACAGAAAGCGAGAAATCACCCCCAGGGGGATGGCCACGCCACAATCCCTTCTCCTCCATTCTCCTCTTGGGATCTTGGGCACGCATGCACACACATCTGGCATGAGTTTAAGCCACCAGGTCCGACTCAGACCATGGTCGACTACATGTGAGTCCAGTGACATAGCCATCGCACTAACTGCTGGTCCCACCATTCTCAAGTGTCTCTCATAGTGGTTAATCCAGATACAGGCCTGTGACCCAAGCAAGTTCAGTGACAGTGAGCCCTAGACTTTGCCCTGCTGGACCAGGGTAGCTCTTTTCTGCTTGGGTTGCTTGGTGGGACGTAAGCTTGAAACTTTTAGTGACAACTTTTGGCATCTCTTGGGGAAAGATGGCCTGTGAATAAGTCTAGAGAAGTAAGCAAAGAGAAGAGAAAGGGACAGCACTTAAAAACATTTCAGTGCCTAGATCCACCTGTGCCTGAAGCTCCTAATATCTCTGGACAATTCCCTTCTCTGCATTAGCCAGTCTTAATTATATTTCACTCATTGGCTAATGAAATAGTACTTACTAAATAATACTCAACCTGACCATACAAAAATGGGGGGAAGGGTGGAGGGAGAGGATGCAAGTACTAGAGGGTCTTTTTAAAATAATTATTTATTTAATTTTATTTATTATGATTATTATTTTAATTCGCTAGAGAGAGAGAGTTGAGCGGGAAAGTGAGAAAGTAAGTTGCCAGGTCCAGGACTCGAACCTTGATTTGCTATGTGGGAATCCAGTGCCTTAGCCTCCATGCCACCTGCTGGTTCTGGTAGAGGGTTTTAAATCAGAACATGCATCAGGAATCTAGACAACTATAGAGATTCAGAAACAGGGATCGGTAGCTGTCGTAAATAGTTACTGGAAGGTAGGCAGGAAAGACCTTGATAACTAGTCAGAAGTTTCATCATGTGAAAAAAACCGCCAATTTTGTGAAATTATAGTTAAATATAGCTGCCAAAGTACTTTTAGACAAATATAACTGAGAAAAATGAGTTGATTAAGGAGTGAAAGACAGAGAGAAAAGAAGATCCTGACACTGAAATGGAAAATAAAAATATGAAACAGCAGAAGTGATATGAGATATAAACATTTCTATTATAAACAGAGTGAATGATTCTTTTATGACTCGGACCATTTGACTTTGATTTTATTTAAATACTGTTTTAAAATATAAGCAGCTTAAGACAAAACAAAAATTGCCATAGGGTTCATGTTCTGGCCAGAGAAAGACAGAGTGAGATAGACGGGGAAAGGGAGAAAGGACCCGCATGGGGAATGTCCGCCCTACAACTGTCTCCTCCAGCCCTCCCTCCCCATAGGCTTTTGGGCAGCCTGGAGTGTTTATAGGCTGCCAGGTCCTAGACAAGACTTGAACCCTGCACGCTGTCATCTAGAATCCAGTTGCCTCAACCACTATGCCCTGAGCTGGTCTAATGAAAGCAGCCTTGGAGTTGATTATTTTTTAAGAATTATTTTTAAATTAATTAATTAACTTATTTATTATTTTAATTTGATCAGAGAGGGACAAAATGAGAGAGAGAGAAAGAGAGAGAGAGAGAGAGAAAGCAAGTCACCCGGTCCAGGACTCAAACCGCAATCAGCCATGTGGGAGTCCAGCGCTCTTAGCCACCACATCACCTGCTGGTCCCAGGAGTTGATTTTTAAAAGTAGGGTTGAGGGACCAGCAGATGGCATAATGGTTATGTCGCTGGACTTTCACATGGTTGATGAGGTTCAAGTCCTGGACCCAGTGGCTTTAAACTCACACTGGGCACATGTGCTTGTGTGGTGTGTGCCCAAAATCCCTAGAGGAGAATGGAGGAGAAAGGATTGCAGCATGGCCATCCCCCTGAGGGGTGATTTCTCTCTTTCTGTCTCTCTCTCTCTGTCTCTCTGGCAAGCACACACACCCTATAGCAAAAATTTCTTAAAAAAAAAAAAAAGGTAGGATTAGGGCCAGCAGATGGCATGGAGGTAAAGGCAGCTGGGTCTCACATGCCCTACAGCCTGGTTTGAGTCCCGACCCCTGTGACTTGAAAAACACACCATGTCCATGTGGATGCATATCCGAAATCCCAGAGGAGAATGGAAGAGAAAGGATTATACATGGCCATCCTCCTTGGGGGGTCATTTCTCATTTTCCCTCTCTTTCTCTTTTATTCTTCCCGCTCTTTCTTTCTCACTCTCTCTCCCCCCATAACACGTGCATGTACCCTATAACAAACTAACGAAATAAAAATTAAAAAGTAGATTTAATTAAAGCCGCTAACTTACAATAGTAGTGACCCAGCTGCAGAAGTCACTAACTCCCTTGCGTACATCTTCATGAAGAGGAGGACCATTTCCACGGAGCAAATCCATTTTATTTGACTTTTCTTTGTAACACCACTGGCGTGAGTGTGACACCGTCTTCTTGGGACTAAAGATAATGAGATAAGAATTACAATAGGGGGCACAAGGAACCCAAGTGGATTTCAAACAGTATCATGGGGGAAAGGCAATCCTAAGTGTTTGAGGCAATCAGGAAGATCAAAGATTTCTGACAATGTCTTGCATGTTCACATGAATTATATTTTAATTTTTCATGGATCACATTCCCATGATCCATATCATAAAGACAATGATAACCATGATTAGTTGTGATAATTAAAACAGATATAATAGAAGGTGATCTTTACAATGACTTGTGCCATTTATTGAGAGACGTATAATACCAGGTAAAAGTTCAGAAATCCTAGGCTTGAAGTCTACCAAAACCTCGGACAATCTGGGCAAGGAGGAGGCATCTTTGATTTCTCTCTCTCTCTAGAATCCAGCCTGCTAGTAAATTCATATATTTTTAACCTTGTTTCCCTCTCTGGATTGTCGCCAAAGTCTCCTTGCTAGTGTCTCTGCATCTTCTTGTATGGTTCCCCCAGCTTTCACCCCCCCCCCCACGAGCCCAACCCATTCTTTACACCATAGCCAAAGCAGGCATTTGGGACCATCAATCTGGCCGTATCAAATGCAGCTGGCCTCCATCCTTGATTGATTAAGCTTCATCTGTAGGTTCTTTTTAAAAACTGGGTATAATCCACATACTAAACTCACAAAATTTACTATTTCAGAAGTGTGCAATTCGGTGGATTTTGTATATTCACAATGCTATGTGGCCATCACCACTGTCTAACTCCAGAAAAATGCTCTTTACTCCAAAAGGAACACCATACCCGTTAATAGTCACTCCCCACTCCCCTCCGTCTCCCACCCCTGGGAACCACTAATCTACCTTCCTGTGTCCATGGATTTGCCTATTCTGGGTTTTTCATCCAAACAGAATCATCTAACAAGCAGTCTTCTGAGTCTGCTGCCTTTCACTTAGTATAATGTTTCTTAGGCTCATTCATGTTGTAGCGTGTACTTATACTTTATTTATTTATTTATTTTGGAGAGGGTTTTGCTGTAGGGCATGTGCTCTTGCCAGAAAGACAGACAGAGAGAGAGAGAGAGAAATCATCCCCTAGGGGCAATGGCCACACCACAATCCTTTCTCCTCCATCCTCTCGGGATCTTGGGCACACACTCACACGCACCTGGCATGAATTTAAGCTACCAGGTCTGGGATTAGAACTGTGGTCGACTACACAGGAGTCCAGCAACATAGCCATTATGCCAACCACTGGTCCCAGTTTATTCTTTGTCTGGCTGAATGATATTTCATTGTATGGATACACCACATTTGTTTACCCATTCAGCAGTTGATGAACATTTTAGTCGTTGCCACTTTTTAACTATTAGGGATAATGCGGGAATGCTGCTGTGGCCAGTTATACATAAAAGAACTAGCCCGCGGTTCATTGAGGGCAAAGAACACAAAGGTGTCCACAGGGCCACACTCACCTACGTTGTTGAACTCTCCAAAGGGATCCTCTAGAAAAACCAGTTTCCTTACACTCAGAACACTGCAGACACCGGATATGTGTTTTCCCCCATATCAACTAACTCTCCGGCACCAGGGGGGTGTCCTATCAGACAATATCCACGTGGAGTTAGGATCCGGTCCCTCAGTTCAAGGCTCAGTCCCACAGGACTGCACTGCTTCCACTTCGGATGTCAGTCACAAGTCTGGGGCTCCCACGCCATGTATTATGGAGAGCCATGTTTACACTAATGTTGGATAAATCACATCTATTCAAGAAAAACACTGTTCGGAGTGGGGACCAGGACGCCTCTCACTCCTTTTGCAGAATTTAGTTCCTCTTGCTTCTTTAACATTTTCCTGGAGAACCTTTGAAAAGGCAGTTCCCGGAATGTATCATCAGGCGATATCCATGACAAGGGGTTAATACTCACAGTCCCAGGTGGGCTTGGGTAGGACGCTTCTGTAAAAGCTTTGTGGGTTCCTGTGCTCCTTTCCTCGCGTCCTGACAATAAGCCCATGCGTCCTCCAGCTTCCTTGCAGGATCGAGCACTTCCAGCACCTGTAATAAGAGCTATAAACAGCAAAGAGCTTTAGAGGGAAAGAAAGGCGTGCTCAAAGGAGGGAGAGGGTATTTTAAAACGAAACCGACAGGCTCGCCCTTAACTTTTCTTCTTAGGTCCATCAATACCACTGCTTGGTGTCTGTGCCAAGTGCAGAGCTATGGCCAAACCTCCCATCGCCTGCTCAGTGTACACCTGCTCAAAGTCCCACCACCTCTAGGTGGGTATGACCCTGGGCCTATTCCAGTCCCCAAACGCCTTACTGAGTCAAGTCGTCTAAGGGATTTTTGTGTGCCCAGCACCTATTCTTCCACCTGTGAGTAACAGTATTTGAGTTTTCCTTTGGAAAAATCACCTCTCTCTCTCCTCTTAAGCCACCTCCTCTGAAGTGCCCTGACATCCTTGCTCCGCCAGCAGGCAAGGCCAATCAGAATCACAGGGAGTGGTTTGGGAATAGGCACAGGACCCCAAGGGACCCATGGGAACTAGGCTCTGGAATTTCACTGGGACCATGCAAAAACAAAGGTATTTTTTTCTGCTGAGGTTGCTAAGTGGGTAGAATTTAAATCTGGAGTTGCTGGTGGCTATTTTAGCACCAGAAAAATAGATCCTGCCTCAGAAAAAGCCACACACCTAGTTGAGTAAGTCAGACATGGAAATGAGAGCCATAAGCCCAAGCCATGCACTTGTGCCGCCTGAGATGTGGAAACGGTCTTTCATGACCTCGGACGCTCTGGCCTGCAGGGGGCAGTGAAGCAAAGCCCCAGGTAGAAAATAACCGCTCGGAAATTCTAGCTGTTCTTTCAACAGACTTCTCTGCCATGAATCTTTACTCGTTCGTTGAACTGTATTTCTTGTCTGCCCATAGGCCAGGTGTTTGAGCTACGCAGTGAAAGACACAGAAGAACACCCTGCCTTGTGAAGCTTTTACCTAGTAAGGAGCCCAGTGGTGACAGGTGCTATGATGGAAAATAAGCATTCGAAGGGAAGGAGAATGAGATGGGAGGCAGTTGCTACGACACAGAGGTCTCTCCAACAAGGAGACATTTGAGCAGAGAGCTGAAGGAGAGGGCATAAGGCAAGCAGCCGTCTGGATGGAGGCAGGTGTTCCACACACAAGAACAGAAACCTGAGTTGGACATGCTCGAGTGTTCCCAGAACAGCCAGGAGGCCAGGGTGGCTGGAGCGGAGTGAGTGAGAGCGGAGAAGCAGGCTGGGAAGCTGGAGAGGGAGTGGAAGAGGGGAGGAGTGAGAGCAGACATACAGCACCTTTCAGGGGATGGTGGGTAGGAGGTACTGCTACTTCCCTGCCAATATCCATTCTGCCTTTTCCCTTAAACCCAACGGTGCCTGGGTTTTGTTCAAGGCTGCAGTGCCCAACTAAAAACTCAATTTTCTAGCGTCCTCAGCAGCTAGATGTTTACTAAGAAAGCTGCTACTTGCCTAATCCAAAAATAGAGTCAGCTGGCATGTACCCTTTAGCCTTCTAGATGCCTGAAGGTGTGGAAGCCATTTAAGACACAAAGACATTGGGACTAGCAGGTAGTGTAGGGGTTGGTGTACTGGACTCCCATATGGCCAACCATGGTTCAAGTCCCAGACCTGGCAGCTTGCTTCCTCTCTCTCTCTCATGCATCTATAGCAAGTTCAAAAACAATAATAACAATGAATGAAATAAATAATTCTAAATTTAAAAAAAGGCACAAGACATATGCCAAGTATTATGGACTAAAGGTCAGAAGAAGCTGGACACCGTGACAAACAGCTGCTGCCCAACCCCACCCTTGACCACTGGATGGATTTTCCCTAGGACCTCTCAGGTTCTTGTACACATTCTCTCCACCTAGTACTAGTTAGCAAATACTTAACCTAGCTAGTAAGTACTTAAGGACCCCGCCTCACACCAAGTTAAAGTGACAGAAGTAAGACTCCGGTTTCCTCCCTCCAGAAAGTCACAAGTAGATTGGTAGAACCTCAACGTAAAAGTCAAATGTTTTCGTTTGTGGTAACTTTGGTGTTCTGTTTGTTTCTTTCTTGTGGTTTTGTTTTATCTTTTCTTTCTTTCTTTTTTTTCTTTGATAAGCAATAGAAATTTATTTCTCACATTTTTGGAGGCTGGGAAGTCCAAGATCAAGGTGCTGGCAAATGTGGGCAGATTCAGTGACTGGCGAGGGCCATTTTCTAGTTCATAAATGGTGCCTTCTTGCTGTTCTTCACATGGTGGAAGGGGCAGGCAGCTCTCTGGGCTTCTACTATAGGACACTAACCTCATTCACAAGGCTCCATCCTCATATCCTCATCACCTCCCAAAGGCCCCACCTCCTAATACCATCACTTTGGGGGTTAGTTTCCAACATGACTCATATGACCTTTGGAGAGATACAGCACCACCTTCTCCCAATTCCTGGAGGATTGCCCGTGTCTCCTCCAGCCCAAGCACAGACATGGCCCTCAACTGTTTTCTGGTTGGTCTCTCTGATGGCTTTGCTGTACCTTTGTAAGTTATAGGAAGCAAAGGGAACTGCATGTGTGTTGCTTGTGTGTTTCCTGGGAGCAGGAAAAGGAAGGCTGCCTGAGCCTCATGGAAGCTCTCACTGGGGGACCTGTCTCTTCCTTGTAAGTCTGTCAGCATCACAACCTAGAGAGAATGACCTTCAAGGCTCCAGCGAAGCCCATCCCACAAGCCCTAGGACAGATCACCTGCACAGGCATAGCTTCTTCCAAATTGGGGTAGAGAGCCAGGGGGTGCGGGGCCAGCTGGGCTTCCACATCCTCCACGAAGGCCTTGCGAGCCCTCTGGGCTGGCGAGAGCTTGGAGCACAGCGCCGCTCCCAGGGCCAGCTGCTTCTGCCCCCTCTCAGGGGCACGTCGTCGGGGCAGACAGACCTCCTCGGGGCCCCGCGTGATCAGACCTTCACACGGCGGGCAGCCTGTCCTGAAGTCGTCCAGCCCCTTCCTCACAAATACCCACCGCCGGCTGTTCAGGGACAGGGAGACCTTCAGCCTCTTCGTGGGCTTTGTGAAACACGTGAAGGGCGGGTTCTCCCGGTTCCCAGGAGACGGCGTGCTGGTCATGCGGACCACAGGACTGGGTGGGAGCGGGAGGCTGCTCGGAGGCTGGTCTCCACTGTTTGGGGAGGAGAAAGAAGAGGGAGTCTCAAGGAGGAGGCCGACTTAATCACGGTCCTAGCTCATGGCACATTGCCACTGGGCTGAGCCAGGACCCCTCCTGTTTTTGTTTGTTTGTTTGTTTTTGAGAGCTTTTTTGCTATAGGGCACATGCACCCTTGATAGAAAGAGAGAGACAGAGAGACAGAAAGCGAGAACTCATCCCCCCGGGGGATGGTCATGCCGCAACCCCTTCTCCTCCATTCTCTCAGGATCTTGGGCATGCAGGCACACACATGTGGTGTGAGTTTAAGTCACCGGGTTTGGGACTCAAACCATGGTCAACTACGTGGGAGTCCAGTAACATAGCCATTACGCTAACTGCTGTTCCCTGCTTATTATTTTTTAATTTGACCAGAAAGAGACAGAGAGAGAATGAGAAAGTGAGAAAAAAGTCACCAGGTCGGGGACTTGAACCACAGTTAGCCATGTGGGAGTCCAGCACCTTAACCACCAGGCCATCTGCTGGCCCCAGCACACATATATTCTTTTTGTGTGGTTTTTGTTTTTGTTTTTTTTTTGAGTAACTCATCAGAGAGACATAGGAGGAGGGATTGTGGCATGGCCATCTTCCCTGGGGGGTGATTTCTCACTTTCTGTCTCTCTCTGTCTCTCTGGTGAGCACACACACCCTATAGCAAAAATCTCTCTAATAAAAAAAAAAAGAAATAAAATAAAAGATTCTAGACTGATCCCTATTCTTTCCTAGCGAGTCCTGGAAATGCTTGCTTGCTGTGTGTACGCGCATGTGTGCGGTGTAAGAGCTGAACCAGCTGTACTGTGAAAATCTAGATGAAAAGATCCCGAAAGATGAGTTTACAAAATCTGCTCTCTGCATTTACCAAATCACTCTCTTTTTTTAGTAAGTCGCCCTCCACACTATTAAATATCTTCACAAAGCTTATTTTCAGCACATTTACAACAAACTCAAATATCTAAATACTTGGGACCAGCAGGTGGTGTGATGGTTAAGGTGCTGGACACTCCTACATGGCCAACCATGGTTCAAATCCTGGACCTGGTGGCTTGCTTTCTCACTTTCTCTCTTTCTCTGTCTCTCTCTGATCAAATTAAATGAATGAATAAATAAAGTTAAATAAATAATTCTAAAAAAAATCTAAATACTTCATAAAATCAAATCTGATAGCTGATATTTTTGTTTAAGCACAGTCATACAACTTAAAATGTACACAAATGTTTGTAACAGCTTTGTGTGTAATAGTCCCAAACTGGAACAACCTGAATGTCCTCCAATAGCTGACCAGATAAACTGTGGTACGTCCATACACGGAACTACTCAGCAACATAAACCAACAAACTATGCATACACACAACAACTTGAGTGGGCCACACGGACTTCATGAGGAGTGAAAAAGAACAGTCTGTTATATATCATTTTGGTCTATTTATCTTTTTTTTTAAGGAACAAAATTATAGAAAGGAGAACAGGTTAGTGATTGCCAAGGATAGGAGCGTAAGAAAAGGAGGGATGACAACAGAGTGACACAAGGTGGCTTCTTGGTGGTGATGAGAGGGTTTTGTATCGTGATGTATATGTATGACACAGTGTTATAAAACTACACACACTGGGGCCGGCAGGTGGCGTCATAGTTAAGGTCAATGGACTCCCACATGGTCAACCGCAGTTTGAGTCCCGGACCTGGTGGCTAGCTTTCTCACTTTCCCCCCTCTCTGGTCAAATAAATAAATAAAGTTAAATAAAATAATTTTTTTAAAAAAAGAACTACACACACACACACACACACACACACACACACATGAGTGCAGGTGAGAACTGCTGACATTTAAGTAAGGGCTAGATCTAGTTAACATATGGTGCCGAAGTCCGTTTCCTAGTTCGGCAAGGTACTATAATTATGTACCACGGTACCATTGGAAACAGCTGAGACTTCTGCACTGTTTTTGGAACTTTGGTGAGTCAACAGTTACCTCAAAACAAAGTGATTTTTTTAGAGGTTTTTGCTATAGGGTGCGTGCGCTCGCCAGAAAGACAGAGACAGAGAGACAGAAAGCGAGAAATCACCCCCCAGGACAGATGGCCACGCCACAATCCCTTCTCCTCCATTCTCCTCTCAGGATCTTGGGCACACACACACATGCCCTGCATGAGTTTAAGCCACCGGGTCTAGGATTCGAACCCAATCGACTACATGGGAGTCCAGTGGCATACTCACTACGCCAACTGCTGGTCCTAAAACAAAGTGATTTTAAATCTAGAGGATTTCCCCAAGGTTCCTAATTGCCAACATGTGTCCTGCTCACGCCATGTGCCACCGACAGGTTTGCATGTGTTATCTTGGTTAAACCTCCCAACAATCCTATAAAGCTATTTCCTTTTATTGGTTTTCTTTTATAGGTATGAAAAATCCCCGGAAGGAACAACTTGGGAATTGTCTCCCAAAGGAACAGCTCAGTTGCCCAAGATTATCAGGCAGTCAGGAGAACTGGCCTTCGGCTCAAACTTTTCTGATCCTAGACTTCGGAAACTTCCATCACTTGGTCTGCCTCCTGAAGGGTTGAATTTAAAAGGTCAGCAGTCGCCCCAGCACCTGGAGACAGCCCCCAAACACTGGCCAGGCAGGCTGGTGGCCAGAACGGCCAAAGACTCTGGTTGTGAAAGACGGTCTGCGTGGCATGCCGGGGTCCAGGCACCCCTGGGGCCGGGGTGAAACCCTTAGCTAACCCAGAGAAGGGTGGGTCTTAGGCAGGAGCGTCCTAGGCTAACAGCTTCCTCGCTGACTCTGCAGCCATCAGTTTCGCGTCTGAAATGCGGGTATTAATCTATGCATCATCTCTTGGGTCGTTATGAAGCTAAGAGAAGGGGACGTCCTGTACGACAAGGAGCATGGGGCACTGGCTAGTTTATGTTATAATGACATAGGTGCAGGGGACATTGAAGAGGAGAGAAAAGTACCCCCTCCTAGCCCTCCCCGCGCCCCCTGCCAGCCCCCAGCCCCAGCTAGACGGGATCCAGCGGTGCTCGCGCTGTCCCCGCAGCGCGCTTACCAGGGCCTGCAGTTCAAGCCTTCGGGCCCCGGGGCCAGCGTGCAGGGCGGGAACAGCTGCCTGTGGTCCTCCATGGTGCCCTCAGGTCCCCAGGGACTGCTCGGCCTGTGGCGGTGTGTGTCCTTGGGCTGCCTCGGTCGCTAGGAGACCTCATAGGCAGCGCTGTAGCGATTTGTCCCGGGGCGGGGCACCCAGGCTCACCCCTGCGCCGCCCAACCCCGCCCCGCCTTCGCTTACATCCCCGCCTGCCACCGCCCCGGCCAGGAGAAAGGGGAAGGAGAAGGATCGCCCTTGGGTCAAGCGTGATTTAATCTGTTGGGAGGCCGTGTTTATCTTCTTCCCACTGAAAGTTACCCTGAGTGGAAAATTTACCACTTCCTCTTTCACTCATAACCATTTGGAAAAAAGGTTTATTGAAGAAAAGAAAGGAAGAGAGAGGAGAGGAGAGAGAGAAAAAGCGCTAGCAAGAGACAGTGGGAAGGGAGGGAAAGAAATAGGTGGACTTAATGGTGGGAAACCTCTCAGCCCGGAAATGTTTTTCCTGCAGTCTGGGAACTCCCGGGGTCTCTCTGAAAGTCGAGGACAGTGTCCTTGTTATCTAGTGGCCAGCCGATCGCCACTGTCCCAGCTCTTGTGTTACTGCATTCTTTTGCCTCAGTCTCCTCCTGCGACCTGGGTAGGCTCATGTAACTACAGAGGGCATGAGGATGTGCTTTGGTCCGGCTCACTTCACCTGCTACTTCTAAGTATTCTTGATTTTTTTTTTTTTAGAGATTTTTTTAGTTAGGACATGTGTGCTTACCCCAGAGAGACAGAGAGAGTGAGAGGGAAGTGAGAAATCACCCCTCAGGGGGAACAGCCACACTGCAATCCCTTCTCCTCCATTTTCCGTCTGGGATCTTGGACGGGCACGCACGCACTCCCAGTGTGATTTTGGAGCCACTGGGTCTGAGACTTGAACTGTGGTTGGCCTGATGGGAGTCTAGCAACATAATCCCTGTGTCATCTATTGGTCCTGAGTATTCCTGATTTAAATGCAACACTGCTTCCAGAGGAAATAGCAGGGAATCAATCTCCTGTTCCAAAATTATTGCAACAGTTCAATTGTGCCTATTATGGTGAGATAATTGTCGTAGGCATTTAGTTAAGGCTCTTCTAATTTTATTTTTCTTTTAAAAGAATTATTTATTTTATTTTATTGATTCTTTCATTCATTTTGAATTTGACCAGAGAGAGCTAGAGAGAGAGAAAGAGGGAAAGTGAAAAAGCAAGCCACCAGGTCTGAAACTCAAACCACGGTTAGCCATGTGGGAGTGGCCAGTGCCTTAACCACCCTGCCACCTGCTCTCCCCAGGATCTTCTCATTTTCAAATTCTCTGGAAATAAATTAACTTCACCTTTTAGGATCTACTAAGCATCCGGGTAGTATCCAGGGTCCCCTGGCTGGAACTAATCTTCACATCCTCACTCATGTTCGTCCAGGTGCCTTTTCTGTGCGCTGTGAAGAGCCCTGGTCCCCGAGCCTGGAATGTATCTTGACCTGGGCACTTCATAAGTATGCGCTCCTGGGTGTGTTACTTCAACTTCTTAAGAGCTTTATAAATTAGTCTGAACGTGGGGAAAATAACAAGATCTACCTATAGGGTTGTTGGAGGAATTCAATTAGATAATAAATGTAGAGGACATTTATTACCAACGCAGTGTGGTAATTAGGAATCCCACATGACACAGGGACAGATGGCCGAGATGATGGATATACCAATTATCCTAATTTAATCATGACACATCATATTCTTGTACTGAAAAATCCCATTATACTCTACAAATGTGAACAGCTATTGCATGTCAATTATTCCCTGCATTAAATCTCTGTTTTCCATGCTTAGAGTGGCTTTTGTTTTCCTGGCTGGCTTGTCATACGTGTTACTAATCACCCAGTATTTCCACGGCTGGATGTAGGACTCCAGAGGACTTTGCGTGCATGAGGGGAGAGGCATGAGGATGTGGGCACAGTATTAATAGCATCAGTTCCTTGAAAGCCGAATGCATGTCCCTCTGTGTGGCGTGGGTAGATAAAACGGACGGGTAATTAGGCATTATTGGAAGCATTAGTCTAGACACAGACTCAACATCCATAGACTTTAAACACGTAGTTCTGAGCCGGCTCATGGTGCTGTGGTTAAGGTGGCTAGATCCCACATCGCCGACTGCATGGTTCAAGTCTGAGACCTGGTGACCCGAGAAACACACCAAGCATGTGTACGTGTGTGCCCAAAATCCTGAAAGGAGAGAGAGAGAGAGAGGAAAAGGGATTGTAGCATGACAAGGCCTCATGCATGGCGGTTTCTCACTTTCACTCTTTCTGGCAAGCACATGTACCTTCTGTCAAAAACTGAAAAAAAAGGAAAAAAAAAGGCAGTGCTGAACAAAGAAAGAAACGAAATGAGCTGTTTACTGCAGTATAGTCTATATAAATGGACTGCGTGCATATGAAATAAAATATACATTCTGTAAGGATTCATATAGAGAAAAGTAAAAACCTCAAACACTTAAGAATGAGTGCCTATGGAGATGGCAGAGGGATGGAAGTGGAGAACAGGGAAGGAAAGGAATGAATGCATGCATGAATAAGAACGGGCCTGGCACACTCAGTTGATAGGGAAGTGTCATGAATTAAAGAGCAAGATTAACCAACCCTCTGTTAGTGATAATGAAAAAAAAAAATGAGGATCGGGAGATGGCGTAATGGTTATGTCGCTGGTCTCCCATGTAGCCGAACACAGTTTGGATCCCAGACACAGTGGGTTAAAACTCACGCTGGATGTGTGCATGCATGCCCAAAATCTCAAGGGGAGAATGGCGGAGAAGGGACTATGGTGTGGCCATCCCCCCTGGGGGGTGACTTTTCACTTTCTGTCTCTCTGGCGAGCTCATGTGCTCTACAGCAAAAACTTCTCTTAAAAAAAAAGAAAAGAAAAATGTTTCCAGAAAAAATAGTTATTAGGTATGAGAAATAATTGGAAGAACACATTATGGGTTGTGGAATGCTGAAACAATACCCGCTCCAAAGCCAAGTTAGTTTGCAATAACAAAAACAAAAGCATGGAACGGCTGGTGAAGCAAGGAGCCAGAGCTAGTGACAGGCACTGGTCCATGGCGGGGGACCAGCAGATGGCATAATGGCTGTCACTGAAATCCCACGTGGTTTACTGAGGTTTCAGTTCTGGACCCCGGGGGCTTAAAACTCACTTCAGAAGTGTGTGCATGCATGCCCAAACTCCTGAGAGGAGAATGGAGGAGAAGGGATTGCAGTGTGGCCATCCTCCCCACCCCCAGGGGGTGATTTCTCACTTTCTGTCTCTCTGTCTCTCCTGTGAGCACATGGGCTCTATGGTAAAAGTCTCTCTCTCAAAATAAAAGAATTCCATGGGGGACCAGCTGGTAGCATGGTGGTGGTGAAGGTTGCTAGATCCCACATGGCCAACTGCATGGCTCAAGTCCCAGACCCAGACCAGCAGCTTGAAAACTATGCTGGGAGCTGGCGTGTACATACCCAAAATCCCCAAAGGAAATGCAGGAGAGTGGTTGTGGCACAGTCATGCCCTGGGGGATGATTTCTCACTTTCACATTCTCGCTCTCTGGCTCTCTCTCTGTCTTTCTTCAGGGAGTGTACACGCCCCCTAGCAAATTGGAAAGAAAAAAAAAATTCTATTCCAATTTTATGTGAATCTTACTGGAAGGATTCTAGGTCTTGAGATTTTCTTGTCAACTATACTCTGCCACGAGGATGGATTATGATTTAGAGTCTCATGTCTGAGTCAGTGTCTTAATCATTTTGGGCTATGATAACAAAATGCCCCAAACTGAGTATAGAATAGAAACAGCAGAATTTGGGCCAGCAGATGGCATGGTGGTCAAGTGCTCCGGACTCCCACATGACCAACCATGGTTCGAGTCCTAGACCTGGTGGCTTGCTTTCTCACTTTCCATCTCTCTCACTGTCTTTCACTCTGTCCCACTCTGGTCAAATTTAAATAAATAAATAAATAAATAAATATTTTTTTAAAAAATAAAAGAAACAGAAAATGTTTATTTCTCACAATCCTGGAGGCTTGAAGTCCGAGATCAGGGTGCCAACGTGGTCAGATTCTGGTCCTCTTCCGCACTGCAGACACATTGGAGAAGAGAGGGAAAGCAAGCTCCTTGGGGGCCCTTTATTTGTCGGTTTGTTGATCTGTTTACCAAAAGGTGCATGTACGAGGGAGGGAGAGAGAGAAAGCGAGGGGAAGCATCTCCCACTGGAGTGTGGTCCCATGGCAACACTTTTTTATCCAGCTTCCCATCCCATCAAGACTGGGGCACACAGCACGTGCCCAGCCTGTGTTTTGCACTGCTGGAGCCAGGATTCAAACCATGGTCAGCCATGAGGGGTCCCTTTAAATAGGACTGCATCCTCTTGATGCAATTACCTGCCAAAGGCCCACTTCCTAATACCATCAATTGGAGATGAAGGTTTCAGCATGTGAATTTGTGGGGAGGAAGCGAGCGTTTAGTCCATTGCAATAAGTGCTGCCCAAAACTCTTGCTTTACCCTTTAAGGAGTCACCTATGGAGACTAAGGTGAGCTGCTTTTTCTAGTGGGGCCAGATGATAATCAATATGTGCACTAAAACAATTAGAAACAAGGACCATTTGTAGCATCTCACCGATGACTTGAATTCTCACCAGTGTAATTAAGTTACAACATAATGACAAGAGAAAAGAAATATTTAAACACAGTGGTGAATTTTACTTTCCCTTGCTTTTATTTCTAGAGTCTCTATAATTTTTTGGGTCCAAAGTCATTTAAATTCTGAGAATCTTCGTGTAAGAGATTGTAAAAATCCTTCATAGAAATAATCATATGGGGACCAGAAGTCAGCGTAATGGCTATGTCGCTGGACTCCCATGTAGTTGACTGTGGTTCGAGTCCTGGACCTGGTGGCTTAAACTCATGCCAGACAGGCGTGTGTGCATGCCCAAGATCCCAAGAGGAAATGGAGGAGAAGGGATTGTGGTGTGGCCATCCCCCCCTGGAGGGTGATTTATGGCTTTCTGTTTCTCTGTCTCTCTCTGTCTTTCTGGCGAGTGCACATGCCCTATAGCAAAAACCTCTCAAAAAAAAA